GCAAAGAGACTGAACTCCTGGTAACACCCAGCTTCTAAAAACCATAAATACAAAACCCCAAATATAAAAACAGACAGAATGGGTCACTAACCAGAGCCCAAACAAAACTTTTACTCGTCAACCCCAACCCCTATAAGAAGGGAAAAAAATTGTATTATGAAACAGTTTATCCAACTTAGAGGGTTTAAAAAAAAGACCGGGGAAAAAAACTATCTGAAATTCTGGGAAAAAAAAAGATTCACGAATAGCGAAAAAAAATTTGCAAATCGATAAAACCCCAACTCCCACCAACAAAAACAGCAAACAGATCAATGATTTCTTTCCCCACAAGGAAAAAACCTTGCCAAAAAACCCAAGCTCAGATCCCCCACCAAATAACACCTCACCGGGGGCAACTCCCCCGAACACACTGTTCCTCTCCGACTAACCCATACGAATTCCCTTTTTATCAATGCCTAAAAACAAGGGCAGAGATTTAAGTACCTTACCACCTTTAATAAAAAAAAGTGTAAAGTGCTATCTCCAATCATTGCAACACCTTTAACAAATCCATTAATCCTCCACCTTCCTACAGTACTAAAATAAAGGGCACCCCATCCACAAAAGGGGGAGACCAAACAGAGTTGAAAAACTATGGCCAATATCCCAATTTCCCCTCTCTCAAAAATTTGAAAAACTAATTCAAAACGAAATTTTCCTACCTTATCCCCAAAAAATACTCAACCCCTGCCAATTTGGGTTAGGCCCCCAATAAAAATACTAATGATGCTATTATACACACTAGAAAATATATCAGCAATAAGAAAAAAGAAGTCCCATGGGATCTTCATTTATTACGTAAAAATTTTGATACAGTTGACCCTGACTTTCTCCACGTAAAAATTTTCACACTATGGGATAAGAGGGGATCCCCCAATTACCTCAATCAACCTCAGCAACAGAAGCCAATATGTGTACGCAAATGGGGCAAACTCTTTTGCGCAACCAATTACAGTTGGTGTCCCACAGGGGGAAGTGTCCCTTGGCCCCTTTTCTTTCTCCTATCATAAATGACCTTTCCCAAAGTTCGCAAATTTCTCAAAACCCCCACTATTTGAGAGACACTAATACGTCTTCTTCCCCGGCCCAGCCATAGCCCAAAACTGTAAATAACCCAATTACAGAAAAAACTACCTGGATGAGGAAACAACTTACACTAAACATTTACAAAAAACCCATTATCAGTTTGGAAAGAGCAAAAAGATTTCCCTCTTAAATAAGTAAAGGTCACCTACACAAAGCAACAGAGGGGAAAATTCTTTGAAACCACCTTGATAAAAGACTCAAATTTCATACAATTTAACAAAAAAATTTCTAAGAAAAATTTCCAAATGTAGGGATACTATCAAGAACGGGACTTTTCCAATCAGCCCTCCTGCCCAAAATCACTCTCTTATTTACCCTACTCACCTAGGAAAATTTGTGCTGGGCCCAACAAAGTTAACCATCTCAGACCACTAATTACCCAAAAAAAAGGCTGCAGTTAAATGATAAAAAAATTCTCACACAGGGACACCCCACCAAATTCAAAACACTAAACCCATCCCATACAAAAAATCCTACTTTTACTGCACCTATTCAAAAAACACTTAACTCTGATATTAACCCTCCCCTAAAAATCTCCCCGCCAACCTCAACAGAACACATGACCCTAACAAAAGGGACAATCACTCTTTATGTTCCTCGTGTTCATCTCACACTAACAAAAACTCAAAGCACTAAAAGGCCTAAAATCTGGAATTTATTACCTGAAATATAAAAAAAACACTACCTGTTTTTTAAATTCAAGTCTCTACTCAAAAATCACTTTTCACCCAAAAACCAAAAAAATATGAATAACGAACCTTTTAAATTGTATTCTTAAATGTTTTTTACAATTATATCACTAAATGTTAAAAACCCAAACCCCAAACTAACTTTTTTTTTTTTAAAACACTACCCAACAAAAACCCTTTAATGACCGCTTTGTAAACCACTTGTGCCCTTTTTAGTAATCGTTTACATTAATTTTTAACTGACTTTATCATTGCTTAATTAATCTTTTAAATTTAATTTTAACCAGCCCGTAATGCTATGCATAGTATAAGGGGCTTTTGGCATATGCCTTTTTCTGTAAATTTTTTTTACCTCTGATTTTGACAAATTTTATAATAAAAAATAAAAATAAATAATAAAAATAAAATAATTGTCCATTCGGAGGTAATCGTTTTCGGGGGTTCCCCTGTTATAGTATTATATATATATTATATTATATATAAAAATATATATATAATAAAATTTTTTAATATATATAAAATTTTATATATATAAATAATATATATATATATAAAAATTTTAAATATATATAATATATAATAAAAAATATAAAAAAAATATATAATATATATATTTATATAATATATATATATATATATAATAATATATATTATATATATATTATATATATAAATTTTATATAAAAAATATTATAATATTATATATATATATAAAAATAATATATAATTAAAAAATATATATAAATATAAATATATATAAAATATATTAAAAATAATATATATATATATAAATATATATAATATATATATATATATATATATAATATAATATATAAATATATATATATATAATATATATAATATATAATATATAATATAATATAATAATATATATATATATAATATATATATATATATATATAATATATATAATATATATATATATAATATAATATAAACACTGATCTCTGGCTGAAGGAGACTCGAACCTACGGACCTTAGGGCAAGGTACGCAGTGCTTTACCAATCTACCCACACTGGACAATACCTTGGCGTTAGCGTGCGCTACACGTTTGATCAAACGTGTAGCGCGAGCTACACGCCAAGGTATTGTCCAGTGTGGGTAGATTGGTAAAGCACTGCGTACCTTGTCCTAAGGTTCGTAGGTTCGAGTCTCCTTCAGCCAGAGTTCAGTGTTTTTGTATATTTCGCCTGCTCTCGCGAATTCCTTGCATATATATATATATACAGTGGACCCCCGCATACCGTCGGCATCACATAACGTTCAATCCGCATACCGCTCACTTTTATCACAAAAATTTTGCCTCGCATACCGCTCAAAAACCTGCTCACCGCTGTTCGTCCGAGACGCGTCCAATGTGCGCCCTTAGCCAGCCTCACATGTGCCGCCGGTGGCATTGTTTACCAGCCAGCCTCCGCGGTAACATCCAAGCATACAATCGGAACATTTTGTATTATTACAGTGTTTTTGGTGATTTTATCTGCAAAATAAGTGACCATGGGCTCCAAGAAAGCTTCTAGCGCCAACCCTACAGCAATAAGGGTGAGAATTACTATAGAGATGAAGAAAAAGATCATTGATAAGTATGAAAGTGGAGTGCGTGTCTCCGAGCTGGCCAGGTTGTATAATAAACCCTAATCAACCATCGCTACTATTGGTGGTACAGCTGCTGCTGCACCACCGTCAGCTGCTGCTGCTGCTGTAGTACCGTCTGCTGCTGCTGTAGCATCGTCTGCTGCTGCTGTAGCATCGTCTGCTGCTGCTGTAGCACTGTCAGCTGCTGCTGCTGTTGTACCACCGTCAGCTGCTGCTGCTGTAATACCGTCTGCTGCTGCTGTAGTACCGTCTGCTGCTGCTGTAGCATCGTCTGCTGCTGCTGTAGCACTGTCAGCTGCTGCTGCTGTTGTACCACCGTCAGCTGTCTGCTGCTGTAGTACCGTCTGCTGCTGCTGTAGTACCGTCTGCTGCTGCTGTAGCATCGTCTGCTGCTGCTGTATCACTGTCAGCTGCTGCTGCTGTATCACTGTCAGCTGCTGCTGCTGCTGCTGCTGTAGCACCGTTGTTGGTGTGGCTTATTGAGAATACCAAGAAACAATTAACCCCAGAGGATTTGCCACCCGGATAACCCAAAAAAGTCAGTGTCATCGAAGACTGTCTAACTTATTTCCATTGGGGTCCTTAATCTTCTCTCCCAGGATGCAACCCACACCAGTCGACTAACACCCAGGTGAACAGGGAAAAATGCCTGGAACTAGTGCTCATATTGGTGAATTTAAAGCCAGCAAAGGTTTGGTTTGAGAGATTTAAGAATCGTAGTGGCATACACAGTGTGATAAGGCCTGTTCTGGAAGAAAATGCCAAACAGGACCTACAGTACTCAGGAGGAAAAGGCACTCCCAGGACACAGTGTCTCATCAGTCATTGCTGCATCTTCAATAAAGGTAAGTGTCATTTATTCTTCATTTAGTAGAGTAGTACATGCACAATATATATTGTGCATGTACTACTCTACTATTGTGCATGTATCCTTCTCTTTGTGTGTAGGAAAATGTATATTTCATGTGGTAAAATTTTTTTTTTCATACTTTTGGGTGTCTTGCACGGATTAATTTGATTTCCATTATTTCTTATGGGGAAAATTCATTCGCATACCGATCATTTCGCATAACAATGAGCCCTCTTGCACGGATTAAAGTCGCTATGCGGGGGTCCACTGCATATAGTATAAACACACATATATGCATACACGTTAACTAACCCTCTGTATTTTTAAACTACTATATAACATATGCATAAGCACGTTTACTAACCATCTGTATTTTCAAACTATAACATATACAGTATAAGCATGTTTACTAACCATCTGATTTGTTAAACTTATAACGTGCAACCATGATAAATTTAAAGGGGAGGGAGAGGAGCAATGAAAGTAAAGAATATGCAGTTGTACAGACTACAAAAAAACCCTGCTGGAACATGTGAACACCCAGGAAGCATGAATGTCAACTAACCTGCAAGACCTGTAGAAAATTTTCTGGTGATGTACTTCTAGTCTTAAACACATTCTCTCAACACAAAGTGTGTTGACAAGCAAATATAAATATAAAAAAATCATTTCATAAGTAAACCAGTTACTGAAATGAGAAACTCCAAGAGCTACTAACTTGTGGGGGCTGGAATCTGTAGGCAGTATTAGGAGCTTGTTGCAGAGCTGTAGTAGTGGTAACATTGGTAGGCAGCTGACCAGGGGTGGCAGCAGCGGTGTTGACACGGAGTAACTGAAGCTGACCATTCTCGGTTTTGACCAACAAGTGGCCCTGTGCTCCAGGAGGCAGTCCTTGTAGTGGACCAAGGGTAATTTGCTGAAAACAAAATACAACCTTTTAACTAATGGTCCCAAACTCAAGTAGTAGTATACTGTACTACACTACACTGGGGCATTTATAACATACATGCTTGAATTTTTTTTAAGAACATAAGAAAGGAGGAACACTGCAGCAGGCCTGTTGGCCCATACTAGGCAGGTCCTTTACAATTCATCCCACTAACAAAACATTTGCCCAACCCAATTTTCAATGGTGCCCAAGAAATAAGCTCTGATATGCAAGTCCCACTCAAATCCAACCCCTCTCACTCATGTATTTATCCAACCTAAATTTGAAACTACCCAAAGTCCTAGCCTCAATAACCCAACTAGGTAGACTGTTCCACTCATCAACTAACCCATTTTCCAAACCAATACTTTTCTACATCCTTTCTAAATCTTGATCACTTGTAATATATGTTCTTATAAGAACACATGAATGGAGGAACATTGCAGCAGCCCAGCCCTCTCATACTAGGCATGTCCTGCTAAAGACAATTATGCAGCATATGTGAGTCTTAGAAGAAATGTTTCGCCACACAGTGGCTTCATCATTCCAATACTCTCATATATTTTCAATGCTTGCCAAGCAAGAAACATGATTACTCTAATAACTCCTGTGCAAGTTCCAATTAAATCCAGCCGTTCTCAATCATGTATTTATCTAATAAAATAAGTTCAGTGTCTTCCTCAGCTTTTAAGAAATTTACTTGATGTACTTAACATGAAAGGATCGATTTGAGAAAGACAAATAGCATGGGCTGGTAGGCCCATGCTATTTGTCCATCTTAATCCATTATTAAATGGATTAAGTCTATCATTGTCAGCATAAAAAAATTAAATATATATTTTCCCTATTTTAATAAAATACAGTGGACCCCCGCTTAACGATCATCTCCCAATGTGACCAATTATGAAGTGTATTTATGTAAGTGCGTTTGTACGTGTATGTTTGGGGGTATGAAATGGGCTAATCTACTTCACAATATTCCTTATGGGAACAAATTCGGTCAGTACTGGCACCTGAACATACTTCTGGAATGAAAAAATATTGTTAACCGGGGGTCCACTGTATAATACAGCAGATACACTTCAAAAGAACTTTAGTTCTGTAAAAGAAAAATTTGACAAAAAATGTGGAAAAAAGACTTACATACAGATCATGGTATTTATTAACCTTATGAGTGGCCTTTACATAGATTTGTGTTACTGATGCCAGGGTCCAACACAAAGATCTAAATTCTGAGCACAGCTCCCTCTGATAAGCTGTGAGTGATAAATTTTGGCCTAGATATGAGAGAATGGGTCTGTGAGGTCAATGTGCACAGTGACTAGAGCTAGTCACGGTCACGCTGGTGGGAGATTCGTCTGTATAAACTTGCCTTTGTGGTCACAGTGGTGCCTATGCTAACCTTCCTATGGTGTATAAATATACCTAGTTGGACGAATCTTATCGTAGCCAGCTGGCCCAGTGGCTAGCACATGGGTCTGGAGCTTTATAACTCTTTGATCGCAGGTTCTATCCCTGCCCGTGGTATGGTTCGTTTGCAAACGTGTCATTACGATTTTGTGAGTCATGCAGTATAAAAATAATCCTGCTCCATGTGGTGCATGATGGGAAAACCAAAACTCTGACCTTGTGTTTGGTTTAAAATAGTGTGTGAGGCATTTTGAAAGATGGGTTTTGTCTTCATTGGCTATTTCTTAGTATTATTTGATAGAAAGGAAGATATACTACTGAAATAGAGATGAGTTTGATAAATCATGACTTTTAAAAGTGCAAAAATAGCTCCTTGGCATAAGGAAGGTAGCAGAGCAAGAGCTAAAAATTACAGACCAGTAGCACTAACTTCCCACATCATAAAAATCTTCGAAAGGGTGATGAGACAGCAGATTACTGTACAAATTTAATGGAACAGCACACTCGGCATAACCCAAACCAGGATGGTTTTCAAGCACGAAGATCATGCCTGTCACAGCTGCTGAACCACTATGACAGAAATACGGAGGCTTTCAACGACAACCAAAATGCAGATGTGATATACACAGATTTTTGCAAAAAGCATTTGACAAATGTGACCATAGGGTGATTGCACACAAAATGAGGGCCACAGACATTACAGGGAAGGTAGGCAGACGAATTTTCAGGTTCCTAATAAACAGAACACAAATAGTAGTAGTAAACAGAGTAAAATCCAGCATCAGTGAGGAAAAAAGCTCAGTTCCCCAGGGCAATGTCCTGGCACCTCTGCTGTTTCTCATCCTCATAGAAGACATAGATACAAACACCAATCACAGTTCTGTATCATCACTTGCAGATGACACTCAAGTAAGCATGAAAGTCACTTCAGTAGAATACTCTGAAAAACTACAGAAAGCTATGAGCAGTGTTTTCGAGTGAGCAGTGGAGAACACGACATTCAGTGGTAATAAGTTCCAGCTGCTTAGGTATGGAAAGAATGAGAAACCCAAAAAAGAGCATTGTATACAAAACTCAAGAGAACTGTCAAATAGAACAAAAGGAACACATGAAAGACTTGTGAATAATTATGTCAGCTGACCTTTCTTTCAAAGAACACAATAAGACAAAGGTCACGACAGCCAGGAGGAGGATGGGGTGGGTAATGAGAACTTTCAAAACATGGGAAATAATGCCAATGGTGACTTTTCAAATCACTAGTGCTCCCCTCATTTGAAATATCATTCAATGCTGACAGCCCCATTCAAGGCTGGTGAAATATCAGAGCTGTAACAAATACAGAGATCGTTTATTACCAATATAGAAGCAGTAAAGCATTTAAGTTACTGGGAATGCCTTAAAGTCTTAAATATGTACTCACGGGAGTGAGTGAGTGAATCCAAAGTCAGCTGTGTGGTAGCACTGGACATTGCTGGCGCTTTCGACCGGGTGTGGCACCAGGGCCTCTTAGCAAAACTTCAAGCACTGGGAACTGCGGGCTCTATGCTATGTCTCCTCAGTGATTACCTTCATGGAAGATCTCTAAGGGTAGTTCTCAGTGGAATGGAATCAGCAAGACATCCTATTGGGGCAAGAGTTCCACAAGGAAGCGTGCTGGGACCATTGTTATGGAATGTCTACTTCAACGACCTTCTTCATCTCATCCCAATATCCCATGCATATGCAGACGACTGTACACCGACATTCACTTATCCAAGAGAAGAAATGCCAGCTGCTCTAAGCTACATCAATCACCAGCTAAGAGCTATATCAGCTTGGGGAAATAGATGGCAAGTAACATTTGCACCTGAGAAAATGCAAATGATGATGGTCTCTAGGCACCATGATGGTCATGCTGGTGCAGTAGTAAGGATGAATGGGAGGGTGTTGGCACCTGGAGAAGAAGTTGATATCCTTGGGGTGAAATTTGACTCCAAACTAACCATGAAGAACCATGTTGTAAATCTTGCAAACAAGGTGCCAGGAAGCTTACAGCACTTCGCCGTATCTCGCATCTGCTTGACAGTAGGGGTTGCAAGATTCTGTATGAGGCACAAGTACGCTCACACCTTGAGTATGCTCCACTTTCTTGGTTTGCCTGCCCCTCCCCTCTCATCTGCGACTGCTTGACAGAGTAGAGAACAGAGCAAGACGTCTCATCTCTCGCCTGGACCCATCCTGGATAGACCTGTCATTTCAGCAGAGTCTTCAACACAGGAGGGATGTGGGTGGCCTTACTGTTATGTACAAGGCCAATATTGTCAAAGTACCACACTTGGGTCCACTTCGAGGACAGCGAGAAACAAGCTTTTATGCCACAAGACGGGCAGAAAGCAGCAACTTCACTCTGGCTGTACCTTTCTCCAGAACATCACTCCATCTGAGATCATATATACCCAGGATGACTCAAGTATGGAACACATTTGTACAGCATAATTATGTCAACGAGATAAAGTCAGTTGATCAAATGAAAATGCTGGCCCACAGATGGCTCCAACTTCATCCTGTTCCCTACTTGTGTACTTGTGTCTCTCTATGTCTCATAACAATAAAAATGCTTTCAAATGAGATGATATAGGTAACAGCACTTAGCTTGTCAATAAAGTTAGGAATCCTTAACCTGTAAATAGCTTGTCAATAAAGCTAGGGATCCTTAACCTTGTCAAACACTGTAAGAGAGAGAGAGGAGAGAGAGAGAGAGAGAGAGAGAGAGAGAGAGAGAGAGAGAGAGAGAGAGAGAGAGAGAGAGAGAGAGAGAGAGAGAGAGAGAAGAGAGAGAGAAGAGAGAGAAAAGAGAGAGAAAAGAGAGAGAAAAGAGAGAGAAAAGAGAGAAAAAGAGAGAAAAGAGAGAGAAAGAGAAAAGAGAAAAGAGAGAAAGAGAGAGAAAGAGAGAAAAAGAGAGAAAAGAGAGAGAAAGAGAGAAAGAGAGAGGGAGAGAAAAGAGAGAGAAGAGAGAAAGAGAGAAAGAGAGAGAGAAGAGAGAGAGGAGAGAGAGAGAGAGAGAGAGAGAGAGAGAGAGAGAGAGAGAGAGAAAGAGAGAGAGAAAAGAGAGAGAGATAGAAGAGAGAGATAGAAGAGATAGAAAAGAGAGAGAGAAAAGAGAAAAAGAGAAAAAGAGAAAAAGAGAGAATAAGAGAGAGAAAAGAAGAGAAGAGAGAAGAGGAAGAGAGAAAAGAGAGAGAGAAAAGAGAAGAGAAAAGAGAGAGAGAAAAGAGAGAGAAGAAGAAGAGAGAAGAGAGAAGAAAAGAGAGAGAGAAAAGAGAGAGAGAAAAGAGAGAGAGAAAAGAGAGAGAGAAAAGAGAGAGAGAAGAGAGAGAGAAAGAGAGAGAGAAAAGAGAGAGAAAAGAGAGAGAAAAAGAGAGAGAGAAAAGAGAGAGAGAAAAGAGAGAGAGAAAAGAGAGAGAGAAAAGAGAGAGAGAAAAGAGAGAGAAAAGAGAGAGAAAAGAGAGAAAAGAGAGAGAGAAAAGAGAGAGAAAATAGAGAAAAGAGAGAGAAAATAGAGAGAAAAGAGAAGAGAGAGAGAAGAGAGAGAGAAAAGA